TGGAAACAACACCACCTGACATCGTTCTCGGGAAAAAATCTCTTACCCATACAATGTTATAAAAGCAAAGGGAATCCACGCGCTTTAGCTTACCTTAAATTACCAACTCCTAAGAATATTACAAAAAAAAAATTAGTTTTATAATATTTACGTACGTACACTAAAGGATTTCAGACTTTATTCCTTATATTTTCTGTGACGAAGCACGTAGGTAATCGAAATATTAAAATTATCTCCCCTCTCCCCTTACATCCCTCCCCAAAAATAAAATACAATAAATTCTATTACTTCGTCTGAGCTACACTTTTTTTTGAATTTATTTCACGTAATTAATAATTTAAAATAATTTTTTTTCTTTGATTTAAAAAATTTTTATACATTGTATTTTTTATACATTATTTGGACGAGCAGAAATGTATGAAGTTAAAATATGATAAAATCAATAAAATCGTGTCTTTTATTGCACCGCACCGTGAAACCCGCAAAATTATAATTTGCGTAATTACTGGTGGTAGGACCTGTTGTGAGTCCGCGCGGGTAGGTACCACCGCCCTGCCTATTTCTGCCGTGAAGCAGTAATGCGTTTCGGTTTGAAGGGTGGGGCAGCCGTTGTAACTATACTGAGACCTTACAACTTATATCTCAAGGTGGGTGGCGCATTTACGTTGTTGATGTCTATGGGCTCCAGTAACCACTTAACATCAGGTGGGCTGTGAGCTCGTCCACCCATCTAAGCAATAAAAAAATTTAAAAATATATTTCTAAAGTTAAAACTATGTAGGTATGTGAAATTGCAAAGAAATATATATAAACAACGGTTTAATATAGAAAAGTCTTGAATTTGTTTGTAAAAAAACACTTTGGTGCTAATACAGTTTATTTTGATTCACTCTGAACAAAGTCTGAAATCTCTGGTGTTAATTCTCATTAAAATAAGTTATTAAGTGTTATCATGTAATGTGTTTTACATTTTTATTTTATTTTTTGTTTAGAGTGTGACTGACAAAGTTTAATTGTGTTGTCGATTATTTTGTATATTTTTTTTTTGTATATTTAAATACGTTTTTTCCGAATGCTTATTAGATTTAAATAAAATTCGTAAAACTAATCTTTAATGAAATTATGCACAAAGGATTTTTGAAGCTGATTATATAAAAAAGCGCCTTGTTGATTCGCTTTTGTAAAAAAAAAAATATACAAAATATCTTGTATTTAAATATTTATGTGTTGTAATAATGTGATTCATAATAATAATATATAGGTACATGACAATTTACTGAAATAAAAATATACCTTATTTGAATTTTGTCGGATAGCGTTATATACATATGTTCTTTTACAAGAATTACATACATAATATATTTATTGTTTGTATTAAATGTTACGAAATTGTTTGTTAAAAGAATACCTACCTACAACAATATTTTCCTTTTTTTATTTTTAATAAAAGTTTTTTTTTTTCAAGAAAACTTTTTCATTTATTCTGTTTTGCTCCAAGTACCTAGCCGTTACGCAACGATCCTAGGTTGGGATTGATTTTAAGTGTTTGAATGTGATTGAACAACTTATTTTTTTAATAACCGTTTTTTTATTTGTTTGCTTCGTACATAGAGTGGGCAAAATGATCACATCCCATTCCGCCAAGATATTTTGTAATAAAAGACGAAGCCACGTCTGTTGTATGAAAAGCTAAATGGAACTGAATGTGGAAATTAAATTAAAATAATATGAAATGGAATTTTGTGAGGTGAGAAAAGCAGCACCGTGGATGATAAACGAAGTAAAATTTTGGAAATTTTACTGTGAATTCAATAAGACTGGCAGAACCCGAGATTTCACGTCCGATAATTTTATTTCGTTTTTATAGACGCCAACGGTTAAGCGGCCATCATTAATTAACGTTAAAAAATGAAGAATCACTAATGAAATAAAACAAGTTGATAACTCGCATTCCCGCCAAAAAGCACAATTCACAGAGTAGGTACTGTCCAGAACGCAATACGTCATATTAGCTCTTCATCTACGAAATTTCTGTTTAGTTTATGAAAGCATTTTTTTTACAAATATTTTTTTCAAAATATAAATCCGTCATATCGATGTATATCTGCCAGCGCAGTGGTCATTTTTCAATGTCCTTCCAATATAAATCAGACGTAGGAGAGCCAACAAACTCTTCAATGCCAAGTTTTCTACGCTTTAGAAAAAATTAAAGTCTGATGAGTACAGTGGATGACGTAAAACGTCAAATAGGTAGCAACGCATTTGTAGTTTAGAGACATGAGGTCTATGCATGAGGTCGAGCGTGTAGTAGAATCGAGGACGAGCGATTAATCGATTTTCAGATTAATAAGATCGATCGAAAACGAGAATCAAGAGGTTCTCCTTCATTGTGTCCTGTTCCTCATACTAGGTACACTTACGCAGTAATGCTGATGTCATTTGGTATGAGCATGGGACTAATTATCCCTTGCATTAGATCATCAGTGAGCATCAGTGAATATGCTTTTTTAGGGGTATGTTTTCATTTATGGACCTACCTAGGTTCTGAACCAGGGGTTAACCGATATGACGCCCCTTACATCGTAAGTGACGCTGTGGTTCTGTGTCTGTTAAGCATCTCAAGATATGCCATAACGCGTTGGTCGCGCTGGCGATCGCTCAATTCGTGCAGCACCCACTTATAAGCTTTTTTCTTATAAATCTGACCCAAATGGACTAATATTGTTTTGATGTGACTTTTCCTAGTCATTAATAGATCGAAAAAAAAGACGCCACACTTACCTGCTATTCAACCAAAATATTGTGCAGAAGGATAGAAAAAATGATGACCACAAAAAAAATAATATAATTCGTTACCAAAACTTTGTATTTACACTTTTTTAATGACTGCAAACATAATACAATATTACATTAATTATATATATATTATTTAATATACGTGGTAACGCATATAGTACATACTAGCGATTTCAACACAATGTAATCACTTTTCAGGACGAAAACGACTCGATCACTTTATAAACTGTGGTACAATGTGAAATTGTGAATTGAATTCAGTAAAATAAATTCACTGTTTCTGATAGAGTTCATACCATTTTGGCGGGTTTTTTCACATAAAGAAACAATATGGTATGTAGGCAGTGGCTTTTTATTTTTTGTATAAGAGTCGTTAACGTTCTGTTTATATAAATCAAATCACCTATTTTAATTTTTAATAAAGTACATTTTAAATTAAAACCGTTATTCTGCAAATATTAATTCAATTTAAACTAAAATAGGATTGTGCACGTGTTTATAATGTATTTTTTTTTAAAATAAAACTACTCAATTTTCGGTAGCATCTGACGCCATTTGCAAGTAAACGTCAGCGCCATTTTGTGTTTTTACTATTTTCATAAATATTTTATTCGTGTACATAAAATGCTTTATAATTTTAATGGCACAGTTACAACGTTTTCGTTTTTAATGTTTTCCGAGAAATTCAATAAAAATAACACACATTTCAATGGGAATTATTAGATATGCAATCATAGAGAATACTTTAGAAATGGAATGAATTGTTTCTTTATATACTATACTTTTGAAGATACTTGATAAGAAAAACGCAGTACATAATTATTATCTTCACAAATTTTTTCTCTTTTTATTTTGTAGTCCCTTGTCTAAGACTAAGCACATTAAATAAATGTCAATTAATAGATATTTATTTATAAGCAGATTTATCAAAATCAATTAAACATTAACATTTACGGTCATAGATCAAAACGAAAATGTACTTATTTTAACGCCGGAATTAGCAGATTCTTTAGAATTAAAAAAAAAAAAACAAATTTCGTTTAAATAATAAAGAAATAATATTGTAGATTATTCTTTGACATTAATGAGACCAATACAAATTTATAAGCTAACGAATCGCTTTGTTCGATATTATTATATACAATTTTGAAAAAAAAAAGGAAGCGTATGCTCACAATAATGTTACTTAGACATCAAATACACATACCTCCTGTTTGNCTTTAGAATTAAAAAAAAAAACAAATTTCGTTTAAATAATAAAGAAATAATATTGTAGATTATTCTTTGACATTAATGAGACCAATACAAATTTATAAGCTAACGAACCGCTTTTTACGACGAACGAATATTATTATTTACAATTTAGAAAAAAAATGGAAGCGTATGCTCACAATAATGTTACTTAGGCATCAAATAGACATACCTCCTGTTTGGAAGTCGGTATGAACTGAAACTTCAACGCAGCATTTATACGATTAGATAAAGAAAGGCGTCGCTCATTATGAAAACGATACTTTTCGACGACACTAAAAATCGATTTTACATCTCAATCCGATAAATCGATACAATAGGTTCGCCTTAAAAAAAAAAAAAACATTTTGGTTATCGATTTTGTATACACTTTAACACTAATTATTATATTATATAATAGTCATAAATATGTATCACTAATAATATTTTATAGATTACGTTATATTACGTCATAATGTAAAGTTTACAAAAAAAGTTTTATTTTTTTTCTACTTAAATATGCTCGTTCAGTCGAAGAACTTAAAGAAAATGAATAAATACTTGTATTTGAGCACCAGTATTAATTGTTGACGTAAAAATAAAATATCACTTAAGCACACGTAGAGGTGGAATCGAATATAAATAAGCAAAAATCGATTTTATCACAAAAAATCGTCAAAAAAAATTGAAAAAAAATATATAGGCGCAATAGCTACAGAAAATTAGGCGTTATTGGAATGCCTTAATAATAAAATAGTTTCTAGAGCCGTGTTTTAAACAGATAAACTTTGAGTTCAGAAAATTTAACTAAACTTTTTTTAAACTAAAAAACACAATGAACTAAGCTTTCCCTATTAAACGTAAGGTTTAATCGATTCTGGGTAACTTTCGCGTGACGCTTTCCCGTTATCATAGACAATTAGAGCTTAAAGTGTTGCCAGAGTAGATAAAGCACGTCGCGTTTTTTATTCATACATAAAATTAAAAGTATCTTTTTTTTAGAAAAAAAAAACGGTAGGATTAAGACATAGCCTTCGCCTATGTTATTAAGAACGTAATAACATTCATAAATGTCGCGTATTAAGCTAAATGTTGCTTAAACCAAACAGCTTTTCACCCCTCGATATACAGGGTGTCCCAGAAAGAATGTATAATCCTGAAACACCTCATAGTAGAGCTATTGGGGACACAAAATAAAAAATCTTAGGTAGTACCCAAATTGCGTAATACTAAGAAATATGGAGGAAATCATATGAGTAGCTAGTGTAATTTTTTATAAAATTTAACATGAACTTAAATTTTAATAATGAAGTTAGGTATTTTTTTCTTTATTTTTATTTGGGTACTACCAAAGAAATATATATTTTTATTTTTTATTCTGTGTCCCCGATGTGTCCCCAATAGCTCTACTATGAGGTGTTTCAGGATTATCCATTCTTTCTGGGACACCCTGTATAATGTATAGGCTTACCAGAATGTAGTCCTCTGTGAAGGGCATGCTAAATAAATTTTTCACTAAGCTTGCAATTAATTGAATATCTCGATAGACTTATAGACCACTGCGACTGTCTATTAGGCCAGACGCGGCACGAGTAACAAAGATCACTCAATTATAAGCCTTCCTCTCTATTCCCTTCAATACCATAAATAATACTATATATTTATATATACAAAATATGTTTAGCAAAGAACATTACGTTATTCATATTTTAATCGATTTTTTTTAATATCGATATTTCGTTATTTAGCTAGATCAACTTTTGCCGGGCAGATTGTATCGATTCTTTTGTGTGTGCAATTAGAACCATCGAAACGCTATTCACTACCTTGTATCGTTTGGAGAAAACCTAACAATATTATTTTGAAAACAGCATTATGTATTACAATCATATTACGGAAGTTTAAATAATATTATGTTCATATTAATTATCGTAATGCTATTTCAATAGTTCACATTTGAATATAGCAGATAGGTGTTGCCATAAAAAATAATTTAATTTTAATTTTTAAGTCGTTATAATGTTGAACTTAACGCAGCTTTCTTATTAATTCACGCTATATATAAAGCGCTTACACTAATTTGGCTTGTAACGATTTTGGGAATGCGGAACGCCCATTAAAAATGGAAGCAAATAATTAAAAAAAATGATTTAGAAAAAAAATGTACAAAAATAATTCAAAATGCAATTATCGATTTTGGTTTTTGTATTCTTATAAAAGCGGGACGATCTTCAATTTCGAGAATCGATTCGAATAATCGATTTGTAGAAAATGAAACGCCTTCTTGGAAATATTAATGGAAGACTTAAATTTAATATTATCTGGAGGTACTTTTAAAAAAAATGTATTAAAATCTTACATACGATTTAAAGAGGCCCGACAAACGCATCATATGTATGTATTTATATATATTGGCATACACAAATCGATTATTCATTATACAGTATATTGTAAATCTTAAACTAAAATTACCGAAGACCGTTCACATCAATTTTACAACGCTTATAATATTTTTGTCCACAAAATGTTTAATATTCAACGTCTAGTATGAACAGACTTCTCCAATAAATACAGATTATCACTATTTTTACTTGAGTAATCTAGGTTTTTTTTTATACTCTTAAATCACTTAGACCGTTGCTTTTGTGGGTGTCGACCAGGAAAACGTTAATACTGTGACACCGGTAAGAGTAACGCCATCTATCGGTGCGTAGCAGAAACGAATATCAAAGGAAGTAGTAAAATCTAGACCGCCATCTATTGTCAAATGGCGGAAACGCATATCGAAAATACTCGACTTGTGAGGAATGTTCTCGATAAATCTAGGAATGTCGTATCGGCTATAAAATAGTTGCAGGGATGGCACGCGGTCAGTCAGTAATCGGAACTACTCGAAGTGAAACTGCGAACGGATCACCCGAAGCGAAACGGAAGAAGTGCTAATACAGTTTTAATTTGTACTTCGGTAAGAATTTTAATTTATCTTGAACCCTAGCCAACAATAACAGTAATAATACAAACGAAGCATTGCATATGAAAGTGATTTCTTCTTTATGACTTAATTTTTTAAAACTATGCTGCCAGATGCAGCCCACGGACCGCTGCGACACGTTCGACACACTACGAATCTAATGCGTACAAAAGCAACGGTCGAACACGCGGTCGCCTTAAAAACTACGTACACATACGTAATACAATAAATATATGCGTTTTAAGTATAAAATTAAAAAAAAAACAACTCATGCTTCGATATTCGTGCTTGAATAAGTCTATGTGACGATTTCGTCGTTTAGTCGATTATCTAAATGATTATCGATTTTACAATATATTTTTTTAAATGGCAACATCGATTGTCCTGTGTTGCCTGACCGTCGTTGTTTATATTTTAATATGTTTAGTTTTTAAATCACATTTAACCGCAGCTCGTGATTCGAACAGATATTTTAGTTTACTTTATGTGAGGGTATTTCTAAAATGGCAGTGCTTCTTTCAAAAAATTATACAAATGCAGTTACAGCTTTCCATTGCTTACAATAAAAAAAAAAAAAAACTCTAATTTTCTTTATGATAAACAATCACTCGTGTATTCATGTAGCTCTGAGACATTTTATAGAAATCATCTGAATCAATCATTTAAAATTGACTTCTATTTCATTTTCGTTAAGGCTCCATTTTCCAGTTTCGTTTTATTTTGCGCAATCGAAACAATACGGACAAAAGAACATGAAAAAACTGTTTTTAGGCTGCGGGTTTCACTGCCCAAGGTTGTCAGTCAAGTATTCCATGACAACCGACACTCTCTTACTCTTAACACCAGGAGACACCACCAGCTCAATTGACTAATCAAATCTGATTCTAAAAATCAAATTTTCTTCAAATCTAATTTTTACGAGAATTCAAACGAGTGATGTGACAACTCTAAGTTCCGCAGAGAGTACTATGTGAAGTCGTAGCTTCATTATTGCATCGCTCATATTGACTAATAAAGCCGTAACAAGCTACTCATGGTAATTTAGAAACCCACATACAACGAAGGTATTGTACGGTAGTTTAAGGCTGCCCCGTCGCGCTGCTGTCCATGGGCGATGCCATAACGATAATACGCAAATCATCCGTAACCTTGTAAATGGAGCACTTACGAATAGCCGAAACAGCATTACGTACACGTTTGCAACTCTTAGTTTAAATACTTTCTTTTATCGATTGGCAACACTGAAGCACAAAGAGTACGTGTACATGTGTTGCCAACAGTTACTTCTATACAATTAAGTATCGTACGTATTATTATATAGTAATAATGGAGTTTTATTTTTAAAATATTTGTTCTGATATCGTGTGCGGTCGACTAGCATTCACTCCGGATTCGCTCGTCTCCCTTACCTGCGGGAGAACTCCGCTTTCATAGCTGCAACAAGAGGAGAGGGGTCATTGGCGGCATGTGGAAGTCACAGTTACATTGGAGTACACTATCCCATCTACATATTATATTATCGTTCGAGATCTTCACAGCAAATGGAACGCTTAATTCTTTATATTATCTGTGCATTTTTCACTCGCGAGTTTGGCGCCTTTTCTTACAAAATTTCAAATATATTTTTTTAATAAATATTGTCGGACTAAAAGATAAACAACATCACTTGAAAGAACCAACCTATTTAATTTATTATTATTAATAAATTATATATTAGGTCGTCTTAAGTCAGTGTACAGTGGTTCTCCAATAAATAAATCAGTTTTGGACATATGGTTCACGTTGCAATCTTTACAATTATTTACAATCTACGTTCCTTTTTTGAAGTGAAAACTTCTCTAGCATCGTTGTGATTCGAAAGTCGATAAACGAAAAAGCGACAGTAAAAAGAGACAGACACATAAATTCATTATATTTAACGTGAGAGAAAAAGAGACTACTGAAAAAATCTTAGTAAATGACCACCATTTTACTGAGATTATATTTCATCCCATTTCATTTCATTTAATTTCATCCCAGTTGATTAATGTCTCTAATTAATCATCTTCATATCATTTCACTCCATAATATCATTGAAATGAAATGAAATTTTGACCCCTACCACGAGTGAATTGCACACGTTTTTTTATTGCATAAACATCAACAACGTAAATGCCTTCACCTACCTTGAGATATAAGTTCTAAGGTCTCAGTATAGTTACAACGGCTACCCCACCCTTCAAACCGAAACGCATTACTGCTTCACGGCAGAAATACTCAGTGTAGTGGTACCTACCCGCGCATTGTTCGTTTTTACGTAAATGATTCGTTATTGACATACCATCAATAATTTCTCGTTTCATGATGTTAAGTTCCTTGCGCATCTCCTTCATCATCTCCTGCTTGAAGGCGTCCCACTCTGCAGCCGTGACGCAGCCTCCCTCGCCACCGTTCACTTGCTGAAGACACACAATAATTAACTTTTTTTCCCTAGCCTTGAGAGGCTATTTCAGCGTAACCTCAACTAGTAGGTGAGCTCACGGGGCTAGAACCGGAGTGATGCTAACACTGACCCTAGCAAGAGCAGTGCTCCGCAGAATCTACCACCGGATCGGAAACGCGACCCACTGAGAAGATCCGGCGAGAAACTCAGTGGGCTGTGTCTGTGGGTTAATATAATTAGCATTAATTGTACTGTATCCCCTCGCAGACACAGTCCGCTGAGTTTCAAATTATAATTTTGCGGTTTTGATTTTTATTACACGATGTTATTCTTTCACCGTGGAAGGCAATCGTGAATATATGTTGAGTACGTGTTTCATTAGAAAAATTGGATACCCTTTGGCGGGATTCGAACACCGGTGCATCGCTACACACGAACGCACCGGACGTCTTATCCTTTAGGCCAATCATACCTTTAGAATGGTCTCCTCGCTGGCGGAACCGAAGCGCTTTCGCACCGAGCGCGGGGACTGCGCCGGCGGCTGCCCCGCCGACTCCGGGGTGGCTGTGGACAACGGCAAGGTACAGGCACACGGCAACTTCCACTTGTGGCGTTTAAGAACGCATCTTTTTATGATGCGTAAGCCGGAACGCACGTGATGTGGGAAAAAGAAGATAGTCCAGACTTTTTGGCGGGAACGCGAGGAGTGAAGTTGTGTGATTTTGTTTTATTTCGTCTATTTAGTGTTTCTTCAGGTTTCAATGTGTAATAACGGTGATTCATTAACCATTTAATATCTGTGAAAGTGCACAAATGTGGGAAAATGAAACAAAGTTGCTGAACGAAACTTCTCGGGTTCTTCCAAAAAGTCCATTGAAAAAGTCTCAGTAAATGATCACCATTTTACTGAGATTATACTTCATCCCATATAATCTCATCTCATAAAAATAAGAATATAAATTAAAATAAGACTTGACCTAAAGGTCTTAGTTACCAGGTCATAAAATCCCTTAAAAAAAAAGAAGAGTCTGTGACACGGGACCTTTTTGCCGCCGAAAATTTAAAACGGACAATAAAATATAATGTGAATAATAACTAATATAATATAATAACTTCCAATTGTTTATGCCGCTACAACAATAAAAACTCCTATTGTTTCAGCTGTGGTGTTAATTATATAAAACACGATTTTACGACAAAATAAAGAAGGGACTCTATATGGATTCCCTCAAACTCTTCAGCGAGATGTCACTTTTATATGTACCAGCTTACGATGCGAGTATGCCTACTCGTCGCAATAAGTTTTTTTTTTAAAGGGATATTATGAGCTGGTAACTAAGACCTTTAGGTCAAGTCTTATTTCAATTTATATTCTTATTTTTATGAAATGAGATTATATGGGATGAAATATAATCTCAGTAAATGGTGGTCATTCACTGAGATTTTTTTCAGTGGCATTTTTGGAGAATCCCGTGTAGTTACGTCCAGCGACTTTGTTTCATTTTCCCACATTTGTGCACTTTCACAGATACTAAACAGTTAATAAACCACCGTTATTACACATTTAAACCTGAAGAAACACTAAATCGACAAAATAAAAGAATTCACTCATCGCGTTCTTGCCAAAAAGTCCTCGCGACAAGAAAAGTCTACTTTAAAAATACCCTCTGTTTTTAATATCAATCATATCACATTCAGAGAGCACCAGGTCCCCTTGTTTGGCATGAGGTCTGTCCGTTCAGACGTTTTTAGATACATAGCAAGGAGGCTGAGTATCATTGGAGGCAAGCGTAGGTATTCGGCCCATAGGCATAAATTAGTTATAGATAAGCAACTCAAGCACTCAACAAAAATGTTTACGGGCGTCGGCCACTAGATGGCTTCGCTTCGATTAGTTTCTCATTGCTCCTGTAGATGGCAGTAACATGTTACCTATCCTATATTTTATTTTTAATGAAGGTTTTTGTAAATTTTCAGAAATCACAAATCGATAAAAATTTATCAATTTGTGAATTTATCAAATGAGGACTTGTATGGTTTATTATTTTCTGTGTTTAGTTATACAATAATTAAACCTTAGCTTTAATAACATGTAAGTTAAGAGGCATCCGTTACAAGATGTCGTTAGTTTCTATACAAAAAAAACTTTTTTTTTCATTATTGCTTACATGGGTGGACGAGCTCACATCTCACCTGGTGTTAAGTGGTTTTATCGGAGTCCATAGACATCTACAGCGTAAATGCGCCACCCACCTCGAGGATATAAGTTCTAAGGTTTCAGTATAGTTACAACGGCTGCCCCGCCCTTCAAACCGAAACGCATTACTGCTTCACGGCAGTAGTAGGCAGGAATTGATCCGTGGCACAGTACCTGTGGTCCCATTGCAGGCGGCTGGGAGGCGGTGCGGGAGGGTGGCGCTGCGTTCCCAGGTCTTCAGCGGAGTCGACGTCACGGAGCTCTCCGTCGACGACTCCTGGAAAACACAGACACATTTCTCATTAAAAATAGGAGCCAGTCACCGTCGACGTCCTAGACACGTCCTTAAAGATCCAACAACCCTTGCATTGGACGCCTTCAGCTCTAACACTAGGAGCAGGGACTCCGGTAACCGTACTTGTCGAACTCGACAGTAGTAGTAACTAGGTAGGTAGTAGATTCATTCGCGAAGCAGCTGCTTTTTTTATTTTTTATTGCCCTTGTATGCAGACGAGCATACGGCCCACCTGATGGTGAGTGGTTACCGTCGCCCATGGACTTCAGCAATGCCAGGGGCAGAGCCAAGCCGCTGCCTACCGTCTCTCTCGGAGGCGCTCAGGCAACTGTTAGCAAATCCCACCTATCCTGGTGAAACGGGAAAAGCCTCCAGGCCACCAGTAATGCTTCAATCATAAAAAAATAATCATTAAAAATGTGAAAGTTTGTGTGTTTGTTACTCGTTCATGCAAATATCACTAAGCTGATCTGTATGATATTTCGTACTAAGATAATTTATAATTTAAATTAACACATAATTAGATATAAATCTTCGTCCGAGATAATACAACACATTCCATTCTTTCTGGATTACAAATATAACGCGGGCGAGTTTTTTTTTTCCTTTGTAGGCAGACGAGTATACGGCCCACCGGATGGTAAGTGGTCACCGTCGCTCATAGACGTCAGCAATGCCAGGGACAGAGCCGAGCCGCTGCCTACCGCTAAATGAGTAAGTATACTCTGATCTTATTTCTCAAGTGGCCTCGTTTACCTAATTTCTATGCTACAGTCACAAGTCCTCCGACCCCTACCTCCGCCCTGTCGAGGTGCGCCCTCCGCCGCGCGAGGGTCCTGGCCATTTCGTTCATCATGCAGTGCAGGGTGCCGCGGGCGCCGCCGCTGCCGGCTGACGATGAGGAGGACCCTGAGTGCTCTCCGCCGCTCGGAGACGCGGCCTCCGTCGTTGTTGGTGTCGTTTGCTGCTGAATAAATAAAAAAAACTAATTTTACAATACATATAACATCCGATAGCAAGAGCAGCGTGTCATTCTTATATATATATATTTTTTAAGTGAAACTTCTTTAGAATCGTTGTGATTTCAAACTCGATGAAACGAAAAAATAAGTCCATAGAGACACAAACACATAAACGTATAGGATCCAGCCGGCGAGAGAATGAGATAGACACATTAGACGTTCACGGTCTCCTCTTTGTGCGACTCTTCGTAGCATCCCCACTATCGTCTACTAAACGTTGTCCATATGTATGCTCCCGTGTAGTGGGATAGTCAGTATATCTATATCTTATTTAGAAGTTTCACTTCTACCGTGTGTGACATGCACACACACACATTATTTTTATTTTTATGTTAAATTTATATTTTATTTTTGTGTTAAATTTATAAAGCTTTTATTCGGCGTCAGTCTGTCGTGAAAGAGTCAAAGCGATGCCCCCAATGAACACTACGCTAACTCCAAATTCGTAGATTTACAGGAGGAACGTTTAAATGAAAAAAGTTGATAAATTCTTTATTATTGCAGATATATTTATGGTTTTTTTGTGTAACTAGCTGATCTACTCTTGCTTTGAGCCCCATCAATAATGATTAATTGTAATACTTTTAACATAGGGAAGCGATTTGCGTGAAAAAAGAAAATTTCAAAATGCTGAGTTACAGTAGTGTTGATTGGAGGCATCGAAAGGATCTAAATACCATAATGCCATATTAAGTCTCCACTGCCTGCTACTGTTATATTAATATTTATTTTATTTATTTCGTTTACTTCAGATTTTGCATCCATATTACATTCATTAACATTTCTTAAATTAACATTTCATATAATATATTATAGAATTAAATAAAAACAATAACTACCTACAGTTTCGGAAAAAAACAAAAACAATAATAACAATAAAACAAAAATAATAGTAAAAAAAACTAACAAAACACTCTTTTATAGAATATCCAACTAAAAAATAAATTTGAATTAAAATAGTGTAAGAAAAAATGATTTTATTGTAAAAAAAAGCGTGGGGTGCATGGTATTAGTAATTATTTTTCCCTTTTTTCTAAATATTGAATTGTCATCAATCCTTAATAAGTATGCCAAATTTCGAGTTAATCCGACGTTTTGAAGGGGGTCAAAATCATGTTCAAAGATTCCGTTACAAACATACTTACGTCTGAAGCTAATAAAAGCGTATTAAAAATAAAAATGAACGTCAAAATTACTTTAACCTGAAGGCTGGTTTGTTTTTGTTGTTTTAATTTAATGGATCTTTGATGTCCAATCGAATTTTACTCTCACCTTGGCCTGTCTCTTAAGTCTAGCCTGCTGTAATTGTGCAGCGAGGCCCGTGAGGTCGGGCTGCGGGGGCGGGGGCGGCGGCGGCGGGGGGGCGGGGCCCGGGGCGCCCGGCGGCGGGGGCGGGGGTGGAGGGCCGGCGCTCGGCGCTGGGGCCGGCTGCTGAACTTGCTGCTGGAGAGCCAGAGAGACATATTTGAGCAGACAGGCACATTCAAATCGGCATACTTTAAAAATTCTGCGCAAAAAAGAAAACTAAGACCCCCAAGACAAGCGTTTTGGTTCTTGCTAGGAAAGATTTATATTATAGATAGGAAAATTTTCTGTTTTTCGGGCTAGGAAAGATCGACATCACTATCACTACATAGTATAAAACAAAGTCGCTTTCTCTGTCCTTATATCTCTATGTATGCTTAAATCTTTAAAACTACGCAACGGATTTTGATACGGTTTTTTTAATAGATCTCTATCTATTATACATATAAAACTTCCTCTTCAATCAAGAGTGATTTTATATGTATAATAACATCCATTAAATAGTGGAGAAATTAATAATAAATTACAGTTTCCAAAGCGAAGCGAGGGCGGGTCGCTCTAGTAAAGAATGTTTGGCACGATATTTGAGAATCACTTAAGTACTAACTAACTGTCACAAAAGGAACTCTCCAGTAAATATTAAAATATTGATTAGTTCAGACATTTAAACATACCATCGGTGGTGGTTGTGGCGCCGCGGGCGGAGTCGGTGGCGCTACTGGACCCTGTAATAGCATTGTTAAATAAATAAAAAATATACCATTTAAATATTTACACTTTTTTTTGTGTCCTACCTAAGCTGATGCTCTTGAAACACCTTTTCACCGTAGCCTTATTAAGCAGGTGAGCTTACGGGGTTCAAACCTGACGACGTTATTACCACTGGTCTCAGCATGATCAGTGCTTCGCAGAATCTACCACCGGATCGGAAATGCGACCCACTGAGAAGATCCGGCGAGAAGCTCAGTGGGCTGTGTCTGTGGGTTAATTCACTCGTCGAACCCTTCGTCGCAAGCCACGGGTTCGATTACCGGAATTCACATAATTAATTTTTGCTGATCTTGTATACGATAAAGTGTAAATAAGTTATTTACGATTTATGGGGTTTTATATTCATGTTAGGCCAGTGAAAAGGTTGATGACTTCACACAAACTTTTATTGTGTCTTTCTTTATCTATGTAATTAAAATATATACGTCTTATGTCTTCAGAGTTACACCACGTCCGGCAACTACCCTCCTCTCGCTTAAAAAATAAAACTAAGTGTTCCGCATTCATTCGCCGTCTCTTTCTTACTTCCTAACACGACATCTCCTATCTCCCTCACTCAGTCATTCTCCATATCTGTCATTCATCCATACCGTTCCGTTCCTACATAAATATATTAATAGAATTACGAGGGATGAAAGGCTTTTTGGTGTAGGCGATATTTTTAAAAACTTCACAGGAGAGCGATTTAAAATTTAAACTTTGGAAAAAGTAAAAAATTATCATAACAAAATAATTTCTTCGGCTATTGGAACGGAGTAAACTTAATTGAAGTTGATTTAAAAATATCTAACTGTTTTTACTAATACCAAAGTAATGGCACCTTTAATTACAGAGAGAAATGTCGCTCCGCGATATTATTTGTTAAAGATATTAGTGTCTCAATGATGTCTAATGACCCCCTACACAATTGATCGGCCCGTAGTATATTTGCTGCACAAAAAAAGGAATACTCACATTGTTGGTCGGCGCCAGGTTCTGGTGGGGGGGCACGGGGGGCGGCGCGGGGGGCGCGGGGGGACCCGCCGCCGATAGGGACATGTTCGGGGCCATCGGAGCGCTGTCCGCATACGTTTTATTATAAATATTGAAGACCAGTATAATTCTGTTATCCTTATTATCTACGAATAAACATAATTTACGCAGTGTTCGCTTGTTAATTTTCAATTCGTCTTCAAATTGTTAAATGAAAAAAAACACGTGTGCAATTCACACGTAGTAGAAGTGAAACCTTCAAAAATTAAATTCCAATTATCCTAAATGTCTACGTATATGTAAAATTTTGTCATTAGTAAATAATTGTAAATCATCTTTTACAGTATGAGGTAGAGTACAGTATGAAATACCTGTAAATTGATATTTTAACTTCACGTATAATCCTAAATTAATTTTTTTTTGTTTTTTTTCTACCTATGCTGATAGCCTTGAGAGGCTATTTCAGCTTCGCCCTAACGTTTGTAGGTGAGCTCGCGGGGCTCAACCGGAGAGTTGCTAACACTGACCCTAGCAAGAGCAGTGCTTCGCAGAATCTACCACCGGATCGGAAACGCGACCCACTGAGAAGATCCGGCGAGAAACTCAGTGGGCTGTGTCTGTGGGTTAATTCGCTCGTCGAGCCGTTCGTCGCAAGCGACGGGTTCGACGAGGACGGTGACCGGTGTTCACTACAAGAGGTTTACTACACTACACACGTTAATATTAAAAAATCTCATAGATGGCGCTGTATTAAAAAAAAAACACTACACTGAGAACGTCTAATGTGTTCTATCTCATTCTCTCGCCGGCTGAATCCTATACATTGATATGTTTGTGTCTCTATTACTTATCTATATTACGTGAAGCAAAAACTTTGTATCGCTTTTTACGAAAATTGCGCGGACGGAGGAGAATGAAATTTTCCACACTTATAGAGAATATAGAGAAGAAGTGCATAATGTATAATAGTATAATGTAGTATAATGTATAGTGCATAATGTAATATTTTTTTAAATAATGCATAAAAGATACATTAAATCAATAAAGAAAACATTACACACACTACATACCATATATTTGACGCAACACGCATGCATATTATTTATTGTCAAACTTTTGTTCTTGGCGTGTGTTGTCAAATTGAGAATAGACTAAATATTGTTTGTCTTTGTTAATATTTTTTATAGTGTAATCTTGGCGAAATTTGTGATTATAGAAGTATAAAATACAATCATAATAGTGTACAAACTTACAATTCCAATTAATTATAGTCGAATTTCGACTACTGCGCGACCTCTAGTTTTTATTATTGGACTTATTTTTTCGTTTCATTGAGTTTGAGAAATCACAACGATCCTAAAGAAGTTTCACTTCAAAAGAACACAAAAAAAGTGTGCGTCCCCTGATTTGTTCGCGCAGCAATGGATAAACAATTTCATAAGTTTAAAAATACAATATTTAAGTGACGACTACATGCGCGTTCCATAATCAGGTATTTACACATTTGCATGTACCTGTTAGTGCGGTGATGTCCTGGTGTCGGTTGACTTGGCTGATGAGGCAGCGTGTGGTGAACCCCATGAGGGGGCGGAGCAGGGGGCGTTGCTTGCGCCTGCAATAGAATCGTTCTCAAGTTGTTACCACAGATACCACGGATGCTCAAAAACATCACCCGTATTCGTAAAACACTATCATCACTTCACTTGAATTTGCGAATGTCGATTTAGCAGCTCGTAATACACCCCTCCCTTTTTTATCTAGAATTCGCCAAAAAAATACGCTCTACTACTCATCAAATCAAATCAAATCAAAAATTTTTTATTCAACATAAATGAAAGTACATACTTGTTGAACGTCAAAAGAACTACCGCCAATTCACAAGAACTAGCCTCCGTCCTGAGAAGAATTGGCAAGAAACTCAGCGGGCATGTCTTTTTTTTTATTTTTATTATATATGAAATTATTATTTATTTATTTATTTAATATTATTTTTTTTTTTTTTTAAATATGAATTTTTTACAATGAGTATTATAACGTAACAATTACTACGATATTGAAATGCCCGGAGCGAGCAACTCATTCCCACTTTGTGCAATCTTCTATTAATCCTTTTCTTTTTGATAAAAAGAGATGAGACTATGTTAAAGAGGTCATCGACGATTTTGATACCGTCACATAATGGTAGTAGGACACACGGTGGTAGGACCTCTTGTGAGTCCGCGCGGGTAGGTACCACCGCCCCGCCTATTTCAGCCGTGAAGCAGTAATGCGTTTCGGTTTGAAGGGTGGGGCAGCCGTTGTAGCTATACTGAGACTTTAGAACATATCTCAAGGTCTGTGGCGCATTTACGTTGTAGATGTCTATGGGCTCCAGTAACCACTTAGCACCAGGGCTGTGAGCTCTTCCACACATCTAAGCAATAAAAGAAAAAAAACCTGCCCTAACAGACCGTTATGACTGTCGGTACTTGAACCGTTGTACCATGGTTCACTTGCGGACTAAATAACAATAATAATAATGGTTGGTTCGAAGTAAGTATCAGTTGAATGGAACACTTATTTGAAATGTATTCAACTGATAATTATCTATATATATATAAAAGAAAGTCGTGTTAGTTACACTATCTATAACTTAAGAACTGCTGAACTGATTTGGCTGAAAATTGGTGGGGAGGTAACTTAGAACCAGGAGAAGGACATGGGATACTTTACATGGGGACTTTTTATCACGTTTCCGTGGGACGTGACATACAACGTGGTATAAACAAAACATAACTCATATGGAATAACAAAAAGCAACTGACAGCTAAACGTAATGTAGTCTATGGTTAATTATAGTAGAATTTTGAAGTTGACCGGTTGATGTGTTTGTTTCGAGTTTCTATTAGCTTATTGTGCCGGGATAGGTAATCATTAAGAAAGCCATGCCGCGACCGACACGATCAAATCTTTCCCGACGAAACCGTAATGCAACTAGGATTCGAAACTTTGCGAGTGAAAGGACTGAAGAAGAACAAGAAAATATAATAATAATAACTAAAATACATGGCCAATAAAGAATCATTAAAATACTTGCTTTTATAAGTTACATTAATTATCCAAATAAAAAATTGACCTTGATCAAAAGTCTGCTCATTTATTGCCTCTAAGGCGGCACAAAGTTCGCCGGGTTCGCTAGTCCATACTAATATTATAAATGCGAAAGTAACTCTGTCTGTCTGTCTGTCTGTCTGTTCCTCTTTCACGCCTAAACGGCTGAACGGATTTTGATGAAATTTGGTATGGTGATAGATGATAACCTAGAAATGGTCATAGGCTATAAATAATCACGCCATCGTTCTTAGGGGGTAGGCAGTAGGCAGATAACTAAATTGAGTNGTACTCAACAAATGTTCACGATTGACTTCCACGGTGAAGGAATAACATCGTGTAATAAAAATCAAACCCGCAAAATTATAATTTGCGTAATCACTGGTGGTAGGACCTCTTGGGAGTCCGCATGGGTAGGTACCACCACCCCGCCTATTTCCGCCGTGAAGCAGTAATGCGTTTCGGTTCGAAGGGTGGGGTAGCCGTTGTAACTATACTGAGACCTTAGAACTTATATCTCAAGGTGGGTGGTGCATTTACGTTGTAGATGTCTATGGGCTCCAGTAACTACTTAACACCAGGTGGGCTGTGAGCTCGTCCAAACATCTAAGCAATAAAAAAAAAAAAAAGGAACTCTTCAGTAAATACTAGAGGATGACGGGTATAATTTTTTTTTGATTAATTGTTTTTTTTTAGAAATTATATTTAAATACAAATTACATATTGATGTTATATCATTTATTTTCTTTCAATAAAAAAATTTAAGTTGATTATCGATAAAGTTGATTATTGAAAACACGAAGCAAACAACATTTTCTGAAAATAAATCGTAGCTAAATCGATTTATCGCCCCCGAAATCTCCTGTATACCAAATTTTATGAAAATCGTTGGAACCCTTTCCGAGATTGAGATTATATATATATTTATATACAAGAATTGCTCGTTTAAAGATATAAGATTAAAATACTGATTAATCTTAAAAGTTGTTTTCAGACAATCTAACATACCATCGGTGGCGGTTGTGGCGCCGCGGGCGGAGTCGGTGGCGCTGCTGGACCCTGTAATAGCATTGTTAAATAAAAAAAAAATATACCATTTCAATATTTACACTTTTTTTTGTGTCGTACCTAAGCTGATGGTCTTGAGAGACCTTTTCACCGCAGCCTTATCAAGTAGGTGAGCTCACGGGGCTCAAACCTGACGACGTTATTACCACTGGGCCTAGCATGATCAGTGCTTCGCAGAATCTACCACCGGATCGGAAATGCGACCCACTGAGAAGATCCGGCGAGAAGCTGTGTCTGTGGGTTAATTCGCTCGTCGAACCCTTCGTCGCAAGCCACGGGTTCGATTACCGGAATTCACATAATTAATTTTTGCTGATCTTGTATACGATAAAGTGTAAATAAGTTATTTACGATTTATGGGGTTTTATATTCATGTTAGGCCAGTGAAAAGGTTGATGACTTCACACAAACTTTTATTGTGTCGTTCTTTATCTATGTAATTAAAATATATACGTCTTATCTCTTCAGAGTTACACCGCGTCCTGCAACTACCCTCCTCTCGCTTAAAAAATAAAACTAAGTGCTCCGCATTCATTCGCCGTCTCTTTCTTACTTCCTAACACGACATCTCCTATCTCCCTCACTCAGTCATTCTCCATATCTGTCATTCATCCATACCGTTCCGTTCCTACATAAATATATTAATAGAATTACGAGGGATGAAAGGCTTTTTGGTGTAGGCGATATTTTTAAAAACTTCACAGGAGAGCGATTTAAAGTTTAAGCTTTGGAAAAAGAAAAAAAATATCATAACAAAATAATTTCTTCGGCTATTGGAACGGAGTAAACTTAATTGAAGTTGATTTAAAAACAACGAACTGTTGTTACTAGTATCAAAGTAATGGCAACTTTAATTACAGAGAGAAATGTCGCTCCCCGATATTATTTGTTAAAGATATTAGTGTCTGAATGATGTCTAATGACCCCCTACACAATTGACCGGCCCGTAGTATATTTGCTGCACAAAAAAAGGAATACTCACATTGTTGGTCGGCGCCAGGTTCTGGTGGGGGGGCACGGGGGGCGGCGCGGGGGGCGCGGGGGGACCAGCCGCCGATAGGGACATGTTCGGGGCCATTGGAGCGCTGTCCGTCATACGTTTTATTATAAATATTTAAGACCAGTATAATTCTGTTATCCTTATTATCTATGAATAAACATAATTTACGCAGTGTTCGTTTGTTAATTTTCAATTCGTCTTCAAATTGTTAAATGTAAAAAAACACGTGTGCAATTCACACGTGGTAGAAGTGAAACCTTCAAAAATTAAAATACAATAATCCTAAATTTTTTTATTCTTTTTTTTTATTGCCTTTGTAGGCAGACGAGCATACGGCCCACCTGATGGTAAGTGGTTACCGTCGCTCATGGACGTCAGCAATGCCAGGGGCAGAGCCAAGCCGCTGCCTACCATAAAAATATCTAAGTATATGTAAAATTTTGTCATTAGTAAATAATTGTAAATTATCTTTTATAGTATGAGGTAGCGCCCTCTGTGACTTGATATTTTAACTTCACGTATAATCCTAAATTAAAATTCACTGCAAGAGGTTTACTACACTACACACGTTAGTATTAAAAAAATCTCATAGATGGCGCTGTATTAACAAAAGCACTGCACTGAGAACGTCTAATGTGTTCTATCTCGTTCTCTCGCCGGCTGAATCCTATACGTTTATGTGTTTGTGTCTCTATTACTTATCTATATATTAATACGTGAAGCAAATACTTTGTATCCCTTTTTACGAAAATTGCGCGGACGGAGGAGTATGAAATTTTGCACAATTATAGAGAATACAGAGAAGAAGTGCACAATGCTAATATTTTTTTTAAATAATGCATAAAAGATACATTAAATCAATAAAGAAAACATTACACACACTACATACCATGTATTTGACGCAACACGCTTGCATATTATTTATTGTCAAACTTTTGTTCTTGACGTCTGTGGTCAAATTGAGAATAGAATAAATATGTATTGTTTGTCTATAATAATATTTTTTTATAGTGTAGTCTTGACAAAATTTGTGATTATAGAAGTATAAAATACAATCATAATAGTGTACAAACTTACAATTCCAATTAATTATAGTCGAATTTCGACTACTGCGCGACCTCTAGTTTTTATTATTGGACTTATTTTTTCGTTTCATTGAGTTTGAGAAATCACAACGATTCTAAAGAAGTTTCAGTTCAAAAGAACACAAAAAAGTGTGCGTCCCCCCCCTGATTTGTTCGCGCAGCAATGGATAAACAATTTCATAAGTTTAAAAATACAATATTTAAGTGACGACTACATGCCGTGCCAGAATCCAGGTATTTACACATTTGCATGTACCTGTTAGTGCGGTGATGTCCTGGTGTCGGTTGACTGGGCTGATGAGGCAGCGTGTGGTGAACCCCATGAGGGGGCGGAGCAGGGGGCGTTGCTTGCGCCTGCAATGCAATCGTTCTCAAATTGTTACCACAGATACCACGGATGCTCAAAAACATCACCCGTATTCGTAAAACACTATCATCACTTCACTTGAATTTGCGAATGTCGATTTAGCAGCTCGTAATACACCCCTCCCTTTTTTATCTAGAATTCGCCAAAAAATACCCTCTACTACTCTATTAATCCTTTTCTTTTGAAACGGTATAAAAAGAGATGAGACTATGTTAAAGAGTCATCGATGATTTTGATACCGTCACATAATGGTAGTAGGACACACGGTGGTAGGACCTCTTGTGAGTCCGCACGGGTAGGTACCACCACCGCCCCGCCTATTTCTGCCGTGAAGCAGTAATGCGTTTCGGTTTGAAGGGTGGGGCAGCCGTTGTAACTATACTGAGACCTTAGAACTTATATCTCAAGGTGTGTGGCGTATTTACGTTGTAGATGTCTATGGGCTCCAGTAACCACTTAGCACCAGGGCTGTGAGCTCTTCCACACATCTAAGCAATAAAAGAAAAAAAACCCTGCCCTAACAAACCGTTATGACTGTCGGTACTTTAACCGTTGTACCATGGTTCACTTGTGGACTAAATAATAATAATAATAATAATGGTTGGTTCGAAGTAAGTATCAGTTGAATGGAACACTTATTTGAAATGTATTCAACTGATAATTATCTATATATATATAAAAGAAAGTCGTGTTAGTTACACTATCTATAACTTAAGAACGGCTGAACTGATTTGGCTGAAAATTGGTGGGGAGGTAGCTTAGAACCAGGAGAAGGACATGGGATACTTTTTATCACGTTTCCGTGGGACGTGACATACAACGTGGTATAAACAAAACATAACTCATATGGAATAACAAAAAGCAACTGACAGCTAAACGTAATGTAGTCTATGGTTAATTATAGTAGAATTTTGAAGTTGACCGGTTGATGTGTTTGTTTCTAGTTTCTATTAGCTTATTGTGCCGGGATAGGTAATCATTAAGAAAGCCATGCCGCGACCGACACGATCAAATCTTTCCCGACGAAACCGTAATGCAACTAGGATTCGAAACTTTGCGAGTGAAAGGCCTGAAGAAGAACAAGAAAATATAATAATAATAACTAAAATACATGGCCAATAAAGAATCATTAAAATACTTGCTTTTTTAATTTACATTAATTATCCAAATAAAAAATTTACCTTGATCAAAAGTCTGCTCATTTATTGCCTCTAAGGCGGAACAAAGTTCACCGGGTTCGCTAGTTTTTAATAAATGTATCTTTTTTATTTGATTGGTTTTGTTAATTTTAAGTATGTTTCAATAATACTATGTACACATATGGACTTGTTGTTGTCTGAAATAAAATAAATCATTCATTCATTCATTCATAAAAACTACCAGTGGCTCCCAAACTCTGACCCGGATACGATATATCACAAAGTCGCTTCTTTAGTTAACGTGCCTGATGCGGGTGTGGGTGCGGCGCGTGGTACTGGCTCGGCGGATGGTATTGCTGGTGGTTCTGGTGAGGCTGGTGCTGTGCAGCGTGGTATTGGGGCTGCTGTTGAAGGATCGCTGCGTCTTCTCTTGTCATCGTTCTGCAGATGACATATTCAATAACAGACAGAGCATCAGACCTCTTTTTGTTTTGCTTCGATAGGCGGACGAGCTTGCGATCTATCTGTTATTCACTGGTGGTCACTGGAGTTTATAGATACATGTTGTCGTCAAGTTTTAGACATGAAGGTGAAATCTCAGAGTGAGGCACCCACCATTCGAACCAGATTAATTGCTTCATAGCAGAAATAGACCGCATGGCCCTTATTAAGTGATGATAAACCTTCATTGTGGAAGTCATTCGTGAACACCTGTTAAGAGCATATTTTCTTACAGCGATGTTTTTTTTATTGCCCTTGCAGGCAGGCGAGCATGCGGCCCACCTGATGGTGAGTGGTTACCGTCGCCCATGGACTACAGCAAACGCCAGGGGCAGAGCCAAGCCGCTGCCTACCGTTACACTGTTTAACTGTACGTTTATAACGTGTAACTGTCTATATTCGAAGGGCGGCATAGTCGATCTCTATCGCGGCGAAGACTTGAATGTGATCAACGATCAACGCGTCCCTAATCGATGCCTCCAATGAACACTACGCTAACTCCAAATTCGTAGGTTTACAGGAGGAGCGTTTAACCGAAAAAAGTTGATATGAGATATATTTATGATTTTTTTTTGTGTAACTAGCTGATTTACTCTTGCTTCGAACCCCATCAATAATGATTTGTAATACTTTTAAAATAGTGAAGCGATTTGCGTGAAAAACGAAAATTTCTAAATTTTGAGTTAGAGTAGTTTTCATTGGAGGCATTGCTATGACGTATGACCTCAAATAGATACCATGAACGTTTACCTGTACCCCATGTCCTCGTCGTGGTTGTACGTGTTGTTGTGGCCGTTGTAGGGGGCGGGCGGGTTTAGGGCCTGAGGGGGCGGCGGCGCTGAGTTCACGTTCGGCTTGTTCGCTAGTATCTGATAGAAAAATGAGGCGGTATTGCAAATGTTCTATGTAGGTATTGCATCGGTCACCTTCATCGTAATCGTAAATTAACCCACAGACACAGCCCACTGAGTTTCTCGCCGGATCTTCTCAGTGGGTCGCGTTTCCGATCCGGTGGAAGATTAAGCGAGGCACGGCTCTTGCTAGGGTTCGTGTTAGCAACGTCGTCAGGTTTGAGCCCCGTGAGCTCACCAACTAGTTAAGGTTACGTTGAAATAGCCTCTCAAGGCTTAGGTAGGAAAAAAAGCATGCGTTGAGATTGGCTGGTGGAACGCGAACTTGGGTGACGAGAGCCAAGTCCCAATTGTATACCGGCTGTATCATTTCATGACTTTTCCGCAACAAGAACGCATCATGATCATTTTCACCTCAATCTGTCCACTGTTGAACATAAGCCTCTCCAATTGATGTCCAGTACGACCGGTCCGCTGCCATCTGTATCCAACGTGACCCAGAGATTTTCACTAGGTTGTCGGTCTATCTGGTAGGTGGACGTCCCACACTGGGCTAGCCAGTACGACAGATATACACACGAAGGTTTTCCAATTTGAAGGTTGTGATCACATATTCCCTGATCGAAGACGTTCAGAATTTGGGTATCTGTTTGAAAAACTACAAACAAGTACACTCTCAGACACTCTCTGACTCATAAGACATACCGATTTATCCGATGAAGTTTATGCTATCGCCTTTAATTGCATTTCAGCTGAATTATGACAACAAAGTATGATATGGGCATGCAAATGTCCACTATTTCATGCGTTTTATGCGTTTAATGACAAAATGGACCACTTATCTATTACATAGTGGTATTTTATGTCCCAGAGAATGACATAGCGCAGTTTTTGTCTACCATTTTTTCCCTACCAATGCCGATAGCCTTGAGAGGCTATTTCAGCTTCTCCTTGACGTGTAGGTGAGTTCACAGGGCTCAAACCGGGTGTGATGCTAAAACTGGCCCTAGCAAGAGCAGTGCTTCGCAGAATCTACCATCGAATCGGAAATGCGACCCAATCTACCATAAATTGCACGCAATGTAACACAATATAAGATCAATTGTTGGTCCAACACGAACTCTTGCGAACGTCACGGTATAAAAGTCTTCAGAGTGTGGTCTTATTGGAACCTGTGCGACATGTTTACCTCTAATGTGTGCATCATAGCCCTCGCGAAGCTATCCGCGTCCTCTCTACAGGAGAAGTTGAGGCCGTAAACGTGTCTAGCGTCGCGCCACTGGTGAAACGTGGCGGTCGCCTGGTTGTACTTTAGACCTCGCACAATTCCGCAGTTTATCACCACCTGGAACGAATAATGTGAACATTATTCTCGGCTTTTTTTATTGCTTATGTGGGTGGACGAGCTCAAGGCTCACCTTGTGTTAAGTAGTTATTGGAGCCCATAGACATCTAAAACGTAAATGCCGCCACCCACCTTGATACATGTCGCCTTTTAGCATTAAAAGTGTACAATTTCCAAAAATATTCGAAATTGAATTAATATGCGTATACATAATTCGATATCACCAGTCTTTTTCTCATAAGTACTGTCAAAAGAGCGTAGTTTAGTTTTAGCTTTTTTCTTAGTGTACCTATGTTTTGAATACTATTATAATAACAAAATTAATACGTAATTTTATCTTTTATCTTTAAATATTACATGTTAAACCTTTAAAACACTCTCCTGTAAAATTAATAAGTTTTGAGATTATGCAGTTTTAATGCGAGAAGAGATGTGTTCTAAGACTTCTAAGGTCTTACAGTACAACGGTTGCCCCGCCCTTCAAGCCGAAACACATCACTGCTTCACGGCAGAAATAGGCAGTGTGGTGGTACCTACCAGTGCGAAATCTCATGACGTCCTACCACCAGTTTTATAATAAACCTACAACAAATCCAGCGGTATATATGTTGTGTCCCTACCATGATCTTTGTAGCTCGGGAAAGTAGCACAACTATCTCATCTTTTTATTTATTTTTTATTTTTTTTTATTGCTTAGATATGTGGACGAGCTCACAGCCCACCTGATGTTAAGTGGTTACTGGAGCCCATAGACATCTACAACGTAAATGCGCCACACACCTTGAGATATAGTTCTAAGGTCTCAGTATAGTCACAACGGCTGCCCCACCCCTCAAACCGAAACGCATTACTGCTTCACGGCAGAAAATAGGCGGGGCGGTGGTACCTACCCGTGCGGACTCACAAGAGGTCCTACCACCAGTAATTACGCAAATTATAATTTTGCGGGTTTCATTTTTATTACACGATGTTATTCCTTCACCGTGGAAGTCAATCGTGAACATTTGTTGAGTACGTATTTCATTAGATAAATTGGTACCCGCCTGCGGGATTCGAACACCGGTGCATCGCTTCAACACGAATGCACCGGACGTCTTATCCGTTAGGCCACGACGACTTCAAAACAATCAAGCTATTGTGATGGAAGATCCTACGGTCTCTATGTTTATATTCTCAACTAGCGATCCGCCCTCGGTTCGTTTCGGAAACATTAAATTTTATTATTGATAGCTGAGTCCCGCGATGTTATCCGCGGTTATTGTCGTACCGCGGGGCGAAGCTAGTCTAAAAAAAGTAGCCTAAATTACTCCTTATATCATCAGCTACATATCAGTGAAAGTCTCGTCAAAATCGGACGTCATTCCAGAGATTAGCCAGAACAAACAGACAGACAAAAAATGTAAAAAATGTTATTTTGGTGTATTAACCGTTTAAATATTCATGTGCACGTAGTAAAAAGCGGTTATTTCAATATTACAAACAGACACTCCATTTTTATTTGTAAGTATAGATGAAAAACGAACCTCGTGATCATTAAGTTTTCTGCCCACCACCCTGAAGGTATTGTGCTGGGTGTGATGATAGATGTGGACCTTGGACAGGCCGGACGAGCTGCCCGAAGGTACCCAGCGCTTCTGCCCATCGTCGTACACCATGACGGAGGCGCGGGCGCTGCTTATTGACTGTTCACTGTTGACAAATAAAACAGAAGTTTTTCAATCGATTCCTCTCAACTAAAAACAACATGCCAATTCCAAACGATGCAGGATCGTGGAATGTTGACCAGCAGTAATACCAAATAGGAAACAAGGCTTTTTTTTTCTTAGGTGGGTGGACGAGCTCACAGCCCATCTGGTGTTCAGTGGTTACTGGAGCCCATAGACATCTAGGACGTAAATGCGCCACCCACCTCGAGATATAGGTTCTAAGGTCTCAAGTATAGTTACAACGGCTGCCCCACCCCTCAAACCGAAACGCATTACTGCTTCACAGTAGAAACAGTGGCAGGGTGGTGGTACCTACCCCCGCGGACTCATAAGGGGTCCTACCACCAGTAAATAAGGCAATTGATATTACAGCTTTTTTATTGCTTAAATAGGTGTACGAGCTCACGGCCCACTTGGTATTGAGCTATTGTCGGAGCCTGCCCGGAGTCGGTTGCCCTTCTCTCAGTCATCTGGGGTCGGCGCAACAAGTTTTCTCCTTCCATACTCTTCTATCATATACCCTTTCTTCGCTCACTCCCCTCTTACCCATATCGTCTTTCACGCAATCCATTCATTTCTTCTTAGGTCTACCTCTTCCTCTATATCATTCCACATTGATAGTTAACACTCTCTTACCAACCTCATTTTCATTTCGTCTCATCACATGTCCATACCATCCCAAACGCGCACTTCTCAGCATCTCTGTCACAGTTGCCACTTTCAGACTTCCTCTAACATATTCATTACGTATTCTATCCATTCTCGTTACTCTACACATCCATCGCAACATTCGCATCTCTGCTGCATGCGATCGCCTTTCATATAGACATCAACAACGTATATATCGCCACCCACCTTGAGACATGCGTTCTATGTGTTAACAAATAATTAAAATGTGGGTGTATCTGCCGCGAGGGCAAAGACCGCAGTATCGAATGCATTGCAGTCCCAGTTGCATAACCAAAAACTTCGAAACAGGAACAAGCAAAGGTATTCTATCTTTTTAACACGATTTTATTAGCTCGGTCTGTTCCTTTTTTTTTCCCTACCTATGCTGATAGCCTTGAGAGGCTATTTCAGCTTCACCCTAGCGTGTAGGTGAGCTCTCGGGTCTCAAACCGGAAGTGTTGCTAGCACTGGCCCCAGCAAGAGCAGTGTTTCGCAGAGTTTACCATCGGATCAGAAACGCGACCCACTGAGAAGATCCGGCGAGAAACTCAGTGGATTATATGCGTATACAACGAAATCTTTGAACGCGATTTTGACAGACTTGACAATGTCCGATTAACTTGAAAATTTGCATACGCATTAATCGAACAGATGGCGACACATCTATAACTTCACTCCGACAACCTGACCGGTATTGATAGGATAGTAAAAAGCAAAGACGAAATTAATTATCAGTTCTGTTTGTTGTTTAAGCGTGTTTTTTTGTTTGTCCTTAAACTACATACAATTAATTATGAATAATATAAATGTAGATATTCAAAAGCAACCTGTAGCTGATTATTATTTTCTAATTTACTTGAAACTAACAGACTAATTACTAAATTAAGGCTTATGTTGTCTTACACGACATTAAATGTAGCAACCACTTGGATAGGGTTGGCAGGGAAAAAAACTGGGTGAACTTTATAGTAGCACTAGGAAAAAATCTTTGGGGTGTAGCTGAAAGAAGGTATTTTCTTAGACTACTCCCTGGTGGCTACAGCTCGTGAACCGGAAAATGTTGTTATGGATAACTTAATTGATTCTGTAGCTAAGTATTTGAATCCACCCCGATGTGCTAGAATGTAAATTCTCTTATTGTGCACCATTCTCACAATACATGTCGCTTCTAAACAAAATTTCCTATAGTTGAACTAATTTTTCAATGATTTACCAAGTTATTTTTTTTGGTTATACGACTATTTTCAATAAACAGTCTCTTCTTGCTCTGTCGTCAGAGACATAATGTCCACTCACGTTTAACATTTCATACGCTACTCAATTACTTAGCGCATTCACGCAATTACATTCAACACTAAATCTGCAAAGCGGCAGCCCCTATTTCCGAAGCGTTGAGTTAACGAAACAATGTATGCCCAAACGGCCTACGCAACACATACACCTAACATATACGTCGACAACCTTAAGTGGAGATTACAATATAGACTTGTGCTCTAATGGTATTTAAAACAAGGTTACTAATTCGATAACCGACAGTTATGGGCACAGCGATTTTTAAGAGCGGCACAGTTTAATATGGTCAATTTTCGCAAGAGAATAACGTATATAAAACTTTTGAAAATGGCTCTAGTTTAACTACGGTTAATTTGGGAACAAACTAGTGGCCTAGATATAGGAGCCAGAGCAAAACAGAGATAACAACGGATGTGTCTCCGCCTAAGTTGGGGCTTTCAAGGTCAAGTCAAGTCCAATCGTTTTGGAACGATTCTTCTGCTCATCTCACCAGTACCCGTGATCTCTTTACGGCATGTTCAAGGTGGTAACACAAACTACATCACAAGCTTCAGTCCAACAAGGGTCTTTTTGTTTCTCTGTTTTATTTTCCCTGTATATTCCACTGATAAGAACGCGCCCGAGTAATTGTTTAACCCGTCTGCACGTATTAGACATATAGTCTTACATTACATTAGTCTTAGGACCCGCAAAGGGCTAAACCGATGACTTAAATTTAGCACTGAATGGTAGGTCGTCTTTACCTAGTACCACTTTTCTCGGCTTAAGCTAAGTTACATAACAATTAACTGTCCGAGTTCATTATATAACGGTTTGGCTACAGCTAAACCTTTCTCTCAACCCTAGGCTCATAGCGTTACGTGAAAAACCGTGGCTCCCACGCCAGACCAACCGCCTACGGACTGGTTTATTTTTACGACCTTATCTTCACGCCTGCAAATCCGTAATGCCGTGGGTAGTTTCGTGGCAAATGAGCCTTTCTAATAATACCGTCAAATGGCCTTGGTGTGTGGAGATTTGGTATGACTCTCAGATTTGTTGTCTGACGTACGTAATTAAGAACAAAATCGGTTGTCCGCGTAAGGTCGACGAAGTGAGAGTTTCAAAGATGTCATGTTGAAAAAACTGTTTAGCAGTGTACTTAGTGAGAGTTTTTTAACGTTCTCGATAGCGTAAAAGTTAACTCAAATTTGTATAGAGTTGGAACGTTTGCCTACGTTTGCCGCTAGGGGCACTCTATCAACTGCGTACAAATTAGAGTTAACTTTTACGCTATCGAGAACGTTAAAAAACTCGCACTAAGCACACAGTACGCTTTTTGTACAAATGAAATAATCCCAATAAAATAAAAATCTCGAAAATTTATACCATAATGTTAAATTGGCAACACCAGAAAAGCTCATACCTTACATACTATAATATAGATAGAGTTACCGCAGAACTCTCTTTCACAATAATTATATTAAGGACAATTCCGACAGTATTCTATACACGATCCCTTCCGCACATGTAAATATTATGGTTCGTTTAACCTTTTCACTGACCTCGCAGTTGATTGCGTAAGAATTTTCCTGCCCACAAACCATCACGGCTACACTGCCGCATCAACAAACAGTAGTTGATAATTAAGTAGAAACAGCAAAAGCTCTTATTTCAAATTGGACAAGTAAGGTCCTGAGAAGAATGAGCTTTTAAACTTAACTGACCTGTTCCAAGTAACAGTTTCTTTTAGTAGTGATATTTTGGTGATTCAAAGACATTATTCCTGTGAGGTCATTGGACTAGTCGAGCCTCACGATACGGATGTTCCATCATAAATTGACATGAGACATACTAGAAGCATAATCAAGCTGCTCTCTAGGACCTCTTGTGTGTTCGCACAGGTACCACCACCCTGGCTATTTCTGCCGTGAAGCAGTAATGCGTTTCGGTTGGAAGTGTGGGGCAGCCGTTGTAACAATACTGAGACCTTAGAACTCATATCTCAAGGTGGGTAGCGGCATTTACGTTGTTGGAGTCTATGGGCTCCAGTAACCAATTAACATCAGGTGGGCTGTGAGCTCATTCGCCCATCTAAGCAATAAAAAAAATAAAAAGATCACATCGCGTTACGACTCATACCCGATATCCTATTTCAACATCATCATCTGTCTGTCTGTCATCAACAGTCATCAACGGCCGTCTGGTGTAGTGGTAAGTGACATGGTCACTACACAAGGGGGTCGCGGGTTCGAATCCCACCATTGTAAGATATTTGTATGATAAATATAAAATGTCTTTTCCAGGATTATGGATGTATATTAAATATATGTATGTGTATAATAAAAATCTACAATTTATTNATTCAACATCATCATCTGTCTGTCTGTCATCAACAGTCATCAACGGCCGTCTGGTGTAGTGGTAAGTGACATGGTCACTACACAAGGGGGTCGCGGGTTCGAATCCCACCATTGTAAGATATTTGTATGATAAATATAAAATGTCTTTTCCAGGATTATGGATGTATATTAAATATATGTATGTGTATAATAAAAATCTACAATTTATTTCCGTTATCTGGTACCTGTAACACAAGTTCTTTGCGAACTTAGTACGGGACCAGTTAACGTGGCGTGATTGTTACTAAATATTTATTTATTATTATTTATCATCGTACTCCATCGATCCTAAACCACGCCCGTCTCATTTGGCTACATGACAATAAAACAATGCCTAGGCATGTTAATAATTATAACAGCAATACATATTGATGTCAAAAATTATATTTGTAGAACGGTAATCACTTTCACTCGCTGCTGACCTGATTGTCAGCGACCATAGGTGGTCACTGTTGATGACATTGACAAATTAAAATTTTGTTAATTTTGGATCTGATTATTACTGTTGTAAGCGGTCAGGTTTTTTTTAACGACAGTAAAGTGTTGTGGGATCTTTTTGAAATGGATCTGTGAAGTGACAAGAATGGAAAACATAAGGAGTGAGTTTGTCAGAGGAAGTGTGAAAATAGCGTCCCAGGGA